TACAAGTCATGCCGCACAGAATTCAAAACAAGTAGCACAGAACAGAATACGAGCAGTACGTGTCATGAGGCTCTTCAAAACCTGCCTGTCCTATCAACGTGTGCAACTCCTTCGGACCAGCTTGCAACTTTCCCAACCACTTCCAAGTGCGCAATGTTTGGCTCATTGCACCAGCAGCAAGCTACCAGTATGTTGACGCCATTGATGCCGGCAGCAATAATAGAGTTTCTAGGGGGGGACAGCACCATCCGGGTTTCAGACTTCGCAGCCGGCGTGCGGAAAGAACTGCAGTCATGGCTAGAGGTGCGGCTTAGGATGTACCCACTTGAGAAGTTACAGTAAATGTCATTTTGAGTTTTGAAGTACAGTGGTACAGTACTATATATGCAGTATTTGATACTTTGGATCAGCTTGAGCTTGATGAAGCTGCGGTTGCCAATTTTGGCAGACTCTTTATTGTCTCTCTCTATTTGTGAGTCCTTGCATTTGCACCACTATGGCCAGTGTGTGGCAATCTGCTGAATTCTCTCTGCTCGTGCTGCAATGCTGCCAATTGCTGCAACCAATGCAAGGGTTAGATGGCTTGGCATTGTGAGTCCTTGCCTGAATCTGTTCTAGTATCTCTTTAGTGTGTACAAAGGAAGATTGTTCTGCCGGATTATGACACTATTCCACAAAAATTATCAGCACGGGAGACGGAGAGAGAGCAGGGGAATGGGTTGGGGGGGGAGGAGGGGAGTCTAAGGACAGGCCTTGCTGTCAAGTCACCATTTCAGCAATACCGGACGTTATCAGCTGGAGAAGGGGAAAGCTTGGTTTTTTTTTTTTTTTTTTTTTTTTTTTCCAGATTATTGAAAACATAATATTTACTAGCTCAATACTGATATTAACTATGAACATATAATTCATACACATTTGCATAGATACTAAATGCGAACTTCAATACAAACGTTACCCCTTCTGGAATTGTGAGAAACATAATCGAGATTTTGATATTTGACATCCAAAACGGCCAACTCCTAACGTTTTCCCTCTGCCCGGCCGGTCGGATAAGCCAGTGACCGACGAGCTGACGGCTGGAGAGCTGACGGCCGGCGAGTCAGTCGGCCAAAGAGGGAGTTTTTGTTCAGGCGATCATTCCACACTTGAGTTGTTCCTGACCACCTTGTCCGCAAAGGACAGGGAAGCGTGGATGGGGTCTATTATCCAGCACAGGGCGAGGGGGTCCATTTTTCTGGTTGACATCTCCGAGATGTTGAACTTGCAGCTTTTTGCTATTTTCTGTAGTGTTTTTGAAACACCAGGGCATGCCCACCGCCAGAGAGTAACTATTTTCTGACCACAGAAAACACCGCCATCGGACAGTACACCGAATTCTAACCCCGCAAACTCGTCTCTTTGCTAAAGTTTAGTCCGATGACGAGCTGAGTCAAGCCTTCGTGCCTTAAAGGTTCTGAATCTCGGGACAAAAACGGAAAGGAATGCCCCCCCGACACACTTTTGTGATCCTTCAGTAGAATCTCAGGGATATCCATTTAATCGCCCGCCAATGTTTAGGTGTATTATTGTTTTTTCAAAGTGAATTTGGAAGGCAGATTTGTTGATATATGAAATCACCCAGAAGCCCTATACATTACTGCAAAAAGGACAAGTAGAATCCACTCGCTGAAGCTGTGTCTTATGGTGCGTTCTAGACTGTTTCTAAAACGCATGGAGAGGATTTCAAAGCGGCAATTGCTAGCCGCCGCTACGTGCATTCTGGACAGTAAATAATTCGTGTTTATCAGCAACTTGGGAAAATGAAGCAATCCTGCGAGACCAAAAATCACTGTAATGTTTTGTTCTGGTTGGCAACAATTTTGAGAGTTTGGTGGTGGTGGTGACATTACGATGAAAGGCAAAAAAAGGGTCGTCTCTGTGAGAATGATAGACGAAAGAATGAATGAACTAGAAATGAGATGGGTACATATAGGAAACACATAAGTGTTGTACCCACTAAGAGCTACCCCACTACAGCCTAAATAGACCATAGCAGATATAAGTTTGACACACCCCCATAGGCAAAGTGGGGGAGAACAAGAGGTCACAAGACCAGTCAAGAAAAACAAAGCAAGCTCAGGGTGGATCACAAAGTCACCACACAGTCTGAGCACAAGCAAAGGGCCATAACGCCAGTTCACATGCAGAGTTATATAAAGGAAAGTAAACAGTACAGTGAACACAACCTAGCAAGTGTAAGCATGCAGGTATAAGTATATAGAGTACAGTACAAGCAGAGTCAAGAAGTCAACAAGTGAGGCACAGTAGGTACAAGGCCTAACACAGTACAGAAACGCTGATGATCACAAGGCTGAAGTGCCTTGGTGAAGACATCAGCAGTGTTGGCCTGAGAGGCCACGTAAGCAAGACGAAGCTGGCCACGCTGCTGCAACTCTCGAGCAAGGAAGTAGCGCAGAGCAATGTGCTTCGTTCTGTGCTCCAGTCTGTGCTCCTGACACAAGGCCAGCATGGCCTTGTTGTCGACGTACAGAACTGGAGGAGAACGAGGCGCCTCTCCCAAGTCGGTCAGCAGGTAGGTGAGCCAGCGAAGCTCCTGTGCAGCCATGGCCCCAGCGTAGATCTCAGCCTCACAACTAGAGCTGAGAACAGAAGAAGAGCGGGTAGACCGCCAGGAGACAGAACCGGAGCCAAGGCTGAAGGTGTAACCCTGTGACGACCGCTGCGTAGCCAAGTCGTCAACCCAGGAGGCGTCAGCGTGACCAGTGAGGACAACTCGAGCCCGTCCTCCAAGCACGAGCCCCATGCCCGATGTACTGCACAAGTATCGCAACACCCTCTTCACAGCATCCCAGTGCACCTTTCGGTGCCTGCCGGGAGCCAACTCGCGAGCCAGAAGGCTGAGAGGGTATGCGAGGTCAGGTCGTGTGCAAGTCATCAGGTACATGAGGCAGCCCACAAGCTCTGGATACGGGCCACTCGGCTCTACGGACTCGTCCGAAGGTGGAGCTGAGAGCGAGTGACCAGTAGGCAGAGGAGTGGACTGTGGCGAGGAGTAGGTGAAGCCGAAGCGCTGAAGGACCTGCTGCACCATGTGTGACTGAGTCAAGGTAATGGTGCGCTGTGCTCTGTCCCGGGTGATCCGCAAGCCAAGATAGCTTGTGAGCTCACCCAGGTCTGTGCACGTGTGTCTCTTCTGCAGCTCGGACTTCACGTGGGCGAGTGCCTCCGTGTCAGCAGTAGCAAAGACAAGGTCGTCTACGTACACAAGAACGTAGAACGGCGGCAGAGTAGCGTCAGTGCGTAGAAACAGAGAAGGGTCAGCAGTGGAAGGAGCAAAACCAAGAGCAGCAAGAGTCGTCCTGAGTGTATCATGCCACTCACGGGGCGCCTGGCGGAGACCGTAGACTGGCCGCCGGAGGCTCCACTGGGTACCAGCAAGAAACGACCCAGTGAAGCCAGGTGGGCGGCGCAGCCAGATCTCCTCGTGCAGGCTGCCCTGTAGGAAGGCTGTGCTGAAGTCAAGCGAGTGGAGCTCGTAGTCACGCTGAGCAGCAACGTGCAGCAGTACCCGAAGAGTGGTCATCTTCGGGGTAGGGGAGAAGGTCTGAAAGAAGTCAACTCCCTCTCGCTGACTGAAGCCACGTGCAACGTAACGCGCCTTGAAGGCAGGCGGAGAACCCAGCGGCCACTTCACTCTGAAGATCCACATGCCACTGACGATGTTCGCCCCAGGTGGGGGAACCTCGTCTACGTAGGTGCCTGTGGACTTCCAGGAAGCCATCTCTGCGTCCATGGCTGCCTGCCACTGGGAGGAGTAGGGACCCTCTATCGCCTCTGCGTAAGAGCGCGGGGTCGGGATGTCTAGTGCATCCGGGTCTCCCTCAGGGGCAAGCAGCATGGACACGAGATGAGGTGAAGCAGCAGCAAAGCACTCAAGGTCCTCCTGCCTGTCCTCAAGGACGTCCGTGCCAAGAGCACACTCACCCCCGATGGACGGAGGACAGACAGACGCAGACGCAGACTCAGCAACAAGACTAGCGGCGTAGTCTAGGCGACAGGCTGCAGCAAAGTCAACAAGCTCAGCAACAAGAGCAGACGCCGCAGAGAACTCAAACAGGGGGTCAGTGACAGCAGTGGCCAGAAAGCGCGTGACAGTAGGACTAGCAGCACGAAGGGAGTCAGACTCCGGGTCCGGACCGTCAGGAAGAGAGGACGCAGGAGGAGAGGGCAGATGGACACGCTGTGGAGCAGTGGAAGGACGCAGAGTCATAGAGTGAGTGCCAGGGACAGGAGGAAGACGCGGACGCGAAACACGACCAGCGCGAACAGAACGGACAGGCGACGTAGAACGAGACGCAGGCGACACAGGACGCGACTCAGGCTCACGACGCTCCGTAAGACCTCTAGTCGGACCAGAGTAAGGAGAAGGACCAGGCAGCGGAGAGGCCGGCTGTAACTGCGACTGAGACGGGACAGGCGGTGGACTCAGGGAAGGAGGAGGAGGACCAGGAGAAGGTGGGGAGCCAAGAACCTGCTGAAGAAGCGGAACGTAGTACGGCCGCGGCCGCGCAGCGCCTCGAGAAACAGCAGAGACAGAACCGGTACCCTCAGCCTCAGGGTCTCCAGTCCTAGCAGCACCTCCAGCAGCTCCAGCACCAGCAGCACCTCCTGTAGCTCCAGCACCAGCACCACCTCCAGCAGCACCAGCACCTCCAGCAGCTCCAGCAGCTCCAGCACCAGCACCACCTCCAGCAGTGCCAGCACCTCCAGTAGCTCCAGTAGCACCTCCAGCACCAGCAGCACCTCCAGCAGCTCCAGCACCAGCAGCACCTCCAGCAGCTCCAGCACCAGCACCACCTCCAGCAGCGCCAGCACCTCCAGCAGCACCCGCACCAGCAGCACCTCCAGCAGCAACCCGACAGCACCGAGAGTACCACTCACGAAGCCGCTGTGGAGAGAGGGGCTCCCGCCGCGACGGGACACCCAGAGCACCTCCAGACTCAACACGCGCAGGCTCAGCACCTCCAGACACAGTACCCTCAGGCGCCACACCCCCAGGCTCAGCACGCCCAGTCTCAGCACCCCCAGACTCAGCACCCCCAGTCTCAGCACCCCCAGTCCCCGCACCCGCAGGGTCAGCACCCCTAGCAGCACCGGAGTCGACAGCTACCTCGACCGGCTCGGCAGGGTCTACCTGGGACACACCTGAGGGGGCAGGACCCTGGGGGGGGAGGGGGTCTACCGGAGGAGTACCTGGGGCAAGGAAGAGCGGCGGGGGAGGGGGAGAGGCAGTGCGGTAGGGAAAGAGACGGTAGTACGACACCGACTCGTCAAACGTGACGTCCTGAGAGGACAGAACACGACGCGAGCTGGGGTGGTAGAACTGCCACCCGGGTGCGTCAGGAGGGAAGCCAAGGAAGACACAGGGAACGGCACGGGAGGACAGCTTGTCCGCTGTAGTATCGCGGACAAAAGCTCGAGATCCCCAGACACGGAACGCGGACGCATTGCCTTCCCCGTCCACCGCAGAGTAGGTGTGGTCTCCGGCAAGGAGACACGAGGCTGAAGGTTGATCTGATGCGCCGCGTACTGAACCGCGAACGGCCACAGAAAGTGGGGAGCAGCCGCATGGATCATGGACGTACGAGCGACATCCATGACCATGCCAATGCGGCGCTCAGCAATCCCATTTTGCTGCGGGGAGGCCGGAAGCGTGAACGTCTGGCGGATGCCCTCCAAACGACAGAAGGCTCTCTGAAGGTCGGAGGAAAACTCCCCGCCTCTGTCTGAGTGCAGACGCAAAACAGGAAGGTCGGAGCCGAAACTCTCACTGAGTTGGCGACGAGCACCGCGGATCCAGTCGATCAACACCTCAGTGACCTCACCCTTGCTGCGCAAGGGGAAGACTGTGGTGTAACGCGAGTAGCCGTCAACGACCAGCAGGAAGTAACGCTCGTGACCCTGTCCACGAACGCGGGCTAGGCCCCACACGTCCATGTGAAGAGTCTGCAGAGGGGCCTCAGTCGGAGGAAACGAGGAGGAGTGAGGAGCGGCGCGCTGCCGGCCCTCGACACAAGGAACACAGGTGGGGGCAGGCCCCGGAGGAAGGGGAGGGAGGGACCTGGGGAGTCCAGAGACAAGAGCACGGGAGGCCATACCTCGAAGACGAGGCAGGGAGGGGTGACCAAGGCGGTGGTGCCAGAGGAGAGTCTCGTGCGCCAGAGGACGACACGAGCAGGGGGCAGATGCAGGACTAGACCTGGACGCAGCAGCAAACACCTGACTGGACGCAGCTACCTGACCAGACGCAGGGACCGGAGGAGGCGCAGTAGTCAGTGTGTACAGACTCGACCCTGGCCGACGGGTGAATGTGGCCAGGTGGCGGCCCGTCCGAGAGCAAGTGCAGTGGGTCACACGCTGACCTCCAGGGGTGAACTGGTCAACCCACGCGTCCTGGAGGTCAGCTCCACTCACCAAGTTCGTAGAGAACGAGGGGAGGTGGAGTCCCGACAGCAAGCCCGACGGGGCCGCAGGACACGGTAGAACCGTGGAGGAGTGTGCAAGGACTGGTCCCCCGGAGGGGTCAGCAAGGGAGACCGCAACAGGCCGACGGAGCGGCGTGAGCGTGGTGCTGTCTCTAAAGAAAGAGCGCGAAGCACCAGAGTCAAGTGTGAAGGTGTGAAAGGACTCAGTAGGTGCAGTACCAGAGGGAGGAGACGTACCAGCACCTGGAGCAGCAGACGCACTAGCACCTAGAGCAGCAGACGCACTAGCACCTAGAGCAGCAGCCACAGTGCCCGGGTCGGGCGGGACACGTAGGTAACAGTCACCCTCAGTAATATCAGCAAGAGCATACATGGCAGCAAGGATAGCATCAAAATCTAGATCAAAGATAGGCACATTCTGCAGAAGCAGATCATGCCAACGAGGAAGCTCAACAGCGTCAGGAAACTGGGTACGCCAAGCGTCAGTCAAGCGGCCAAAGCAGCGCTGCGTGGTGTGTGGGAGACCACACACCTCCCCACTACGAGTGCCGGTGCGAAGAACGTACGCGCAGGGACCTGCACCCCCAGACCTCCCACGTCCAGCGTACCACTCACGAAGCTGCTGAACAGACGGGGTCTCACGGGTGCGCAGCTGCTGCGGACGCTGGCTGCCACCAAGGCCTCCACGCTGCGTGGCCGCACCGCGACCAGCACCACCTCCTCCGCTACCTCCACCACCGCCGCCGCCGCCGCCACCTCCTCCACCACCGCCGCCACGGCCGCCACTGCCGCTACCTACGCCCCCACTCCCGGAACCACCCCCACCACCACCTCCACCTCCTCCACCTCCTCCACCGCTGCCTCCACCGCCCCCACCACCACCCCTGCTTCCCTTGCCCTTGCCAGTGCGGCGTCGCCCACTAGGGGCAGACGCAGCGCCGACCTCCTCAGTGCCAACGAGGTCGACAGCAGCAGCAGAGGCAACAGAGGGGAGAAGGGGGACAGGGGAACACCCCTCAAAGAAGGGGGTGCGACGGTCACCGCGAGAAGCACCAACAGCTAAGATACTCTTCTCAGCTGCAGCAAGGCGCTCCTCTAGCAAGTCGACAGTCAGCTCGATAGGGCAAAGGGAGAGAAAGTGATCCCTGACTGAGGAGAGAGAGTCAGGGAGGCGGGTGACTAGGTAGTAAAGGGTGATGTACATGGGGGGGGAGTTCGTGGGAAGAAACTCAGTGGGAAGGGCAGCGCGGTAGCGAGCGTCACTAGTGCGGAGGTGAGCAACTAGGTCAGCAACTATGGAAAAGGCGGCAAGGTCAGGAAAAAGGTACGGCAGCATGAGGCGGCTGAGGGCAGCAGTGGTAGGGGAGGAGTAGCGTGCAACTACAGCGTCGTACAGAGCCCTAGCACTCTTGTACTGACTAAAGTGCGCGCGCTCAGTAGACGGCAGGTGGTTGCGCACAGCAAGACGAGCAGCAGCATCGCGCGTGAGCCACTGCGAGCGAACAGTACTGTCAGCATCAGCAGTAGGGGCAGTAGAGGCGCCGGAAGTGAGATCGAACAGTGAGAGACCATCCTTGCTATCGCACTGTAGGAAAAGCTGCAGATCATCTAGCCAGACCTCAAAGTCAACAGCCCGACCCTCAGCATCAAAGGTAAGAACATTGAGACTAGCCATGACAGGAGAAGCAGCAGGCTAGCAGTAGCAGCAGTGGAACTCGGCTAAGCAGGCTAGGTAGGGCAGCGCAGCTCGGCAGGGCGGTGTGGCTCGGCAGCGCGGCGCTCTTACCAGGGGAGAGGCTGGGGCAGGGCCGGGGTAGGGCCGGGACAGTCCAGGAGCAGGGCCGGGGCAGGGCCGGGGCAGTTCAGGAGCAGGGCCGGGGCAGGGCCGGGGCAGTTCAGGAGCAGGGCCGGGGCAGGGCCGGGGCAGTTCAGGAGCAGGGCCGGGGCAGGGCCGGGGCAGTTCAGGAGCAGGGCCGGGGCAGGGCCGGGGCAGTTCAGGAGCAGGGCCGGGGCAGGGCCGGGGCAGTTCAGGAGCAGGGCCGGGGCAGGGCCAGGGCAGAGCCGGGCCAGGGCCGGGGCAGTTCAGGGGCAGGGCCGGGGCAGGGCCGGGGCAGGGCCGGGGCAGGGCCGGGGCAGAGCCGGGGCAGGGCCTGGGCAGAGCCGGGCCAGGGCCGGGGCAGTGCAGGGGCAGGTCAGGAGCAGGGCCGGGGCAGTGCAGAAGCAGGGCCGGGGCAGTTCAGGAGCAGGGCCGGGGCAGCGTCGGGGAAGAGCTGCGACAGGGCCGCAGCAGGGCCGGCTGGGCCTGAAGGGGCCTCTAACGGGGCCTGACTGGGCCGAACGGGGCCTATAATGGGGCCTGACGAGGCCTATAACGGGGCCGAACGGGGCCTATAACGGGGCCTGACGGGGCCTATAACGGGGCCGTACGGGGCCTATAACGGGGCCGTGCGGGGCCTATAACGGGGCCTGACGGGGCCTATAACGGGGCCTTACGGGGCCGATAACGGGGCCGTGCAGGGCCTATAACGGGGCCTGACGGGGCCTATAACGGGGCCTGACGGGCCTTACGGGGCCTCTAACGGGGCCTTACGGGGCCTCTAACTGGGCCTGAAGGAGCCTGACGGGGCCTCTAGCGGGGCCTGACGGGCCTTACGGGGCCTTAAACGGGGCCAAATGGGGCCTGACTGGGCCGTACGGGGCCTCTAACGAGGCCTGACGGGGCCGTACGGGGCCTCTAACGGGGCCTGTCGGGGCCTAACGGGGCCTTAAACGGGGCCGAACGGGGCCTGACGGGGCCTTACGGGGCCTTACGGGGCCTTAAACCGCGCCCTAAACGGGGCCTAAAGGGGCCTTACGGGGCCTAATGAGGCCTTAAGGGGCCTTACGGAGCGGGCGCAGGCTCTAAGGGCGGGCGCAGGGGCCGTGACGGGCCTCGAAGGGAAGGCGCGAAGCGCGCGGCAAGTAGGCAGGGGAGAAATTTCAGTGGTGGGCCCTTTTTAAAAAATCTCGAAACTAGCTCTATACCATGTGAGAATGATAGACGAAAGAATGAATGAACTAGAAATGAGATGGGTACATATAGGAAACACATAAGTGTTGTACCCACTAAGAGCTACCCCACTACAGCCTAAATAGACCATAGCAGATATAAGTTTGACAGTCTCTTTCCTCACAACACCTGAACACAACTTCCGTGCGCGAGTCACGACGTCATGACCGCAGAATTCGCTTTCTCATTTGAACCCTTGTAACTTGAGACGGTGTCCCCAATGGTAGTAGTACCGGACACAACACCTTGTTTAACCACATCTGCTAAGTCGCGCCACTGCGTCCATCATGGCCAGTGGGGATGGCCGCACTTTTCGTCGAATCGGAGAGTTATCTTGCGCAGTGCCCCACTTTTTGATGGTTGAAGACCCAAGCGGTAATTTCTTAGTAGAGTTTTTGTTTATGTTTATGTTTATGTTTCAGTGGCGAAGACAAGGTCGTCGACGTAGACAAGGACGTAGAACGGCGGCAGCGAGGTGTCGGTACGCAGAAACAGCAACGCGTCAGCAGTAGAAGGAGCAAACCCAAGAGCTGCAAGTGTAGTCCTCAGTGTGTCGTGCCACTCACGAGGCGCATGGCGGAGATCGTAGACTGGCCGCCGAAGGCTCCACCGGGTACCTGCAGGAAACGACCCAGTGAAGACAGGTAGGCGGCGCAGCCAGATCTCCTCGTGCAGGCTGCCCTGCAAGAAAGCTGTACTGAAGTCCAGAGAGTGCAACTCGTAGTCACGCTGAGCAGCGACGTGTAGTAACACCCGAAGAGTGGTCATCTTCGGGGTGGGGGAGAAGGTCTGGAAGTAGTCAATGTCAGAATAATATATAATTCTATATATTGTTCTATAATTGCCTGTAGTGTAGAATACTGTAGTCATATAGCTTTCTGTTTGGTGGTGCACCTTTCTTCATTCTTGCCTATTTGTACTGCTCGCTCTATAGTGAACAACCTCTTTTGTTGGCCAACACCTCTCGCTACTCCCCCTCCCAAGTTCCTAAGGTACTCACTAACTTATGGAGGTTCCTAAGGCATAGCACTAAGTTTGACATGGTGTCAGAGCTGTAAGCTCCTGGACCTACGTTTAAATGGGCCCACCCTTTCTTAGCAATGGCGCCCCTGCTAGCGCACGAGCGCCTTCATTGGCGCGCGAGTACTGCAGAATCTGCGCGATCATTTCTGCCAGCTCACGGTGTGGTAGCGCCTACGCTCGTCGCTCGCACCGTCGCCCTGCCGCTGCAGTCGCCGCGGCGCCCTGCGTCCCGTCGCCGCGACGCCCTGCGTCCCGTCGCCGGCAGCGCCCCGCGTCCCGTTGCCGCGGCGCTCCACTTCCCGTCACCGCGGCGCCTTGTATCCCGCCACCGCGGTTGCTGCTGTGGGAGGAGGTGGCGGGGTGGGGGGAGGGGAGGCGCGAGGGTGGTTGACGCCACTCTGTTCGCTGCTGCACCACACCGCTACGCCGCCACATGCCGTCCCTTCTCTCTCCCTGCTGCGCGTGCAGCAGTGGGGGGGGGAGGGTTTGGGGTGGCGGGTGTGAGCAAGAAGATGCCGCCCCTCCTCTCTCCCTCACTGCCGCACGTGCTGCTGTGGGGGGGAGAGTGAGGGGGCGATGGAAGTCAGCCGGTTATCTGCTGCTGTCGCCCGCTGCTGCCGTGGCACCTCCAGCTGCCGCCCCTGCCGCCACCTGCCTTTGCTACCTTTGTTTCTGCTACCTGCTGCTGGGGCCTGCAGGTGCTGCCGTCGAGCCGCTGCTGTCCTGCTGCACGTTGCAGCCTCAGAGCCTGCTCCTCAGGCGACCTGCCGCCCCTACACCTGCTACTGTTTCTGCCTTGGCCGAGGGGTTGGTACAGCTGGATCTGCCATCACTGCACCGATTGCCACTGCACTTGCCTATTGCTGTGATTTCCGCTGCGGCCTGTCTGGTGTACCCCATAATGGGGGCGTTGACTGCACATTCTTCCCTACAGGCACTTATGGGGGCGTGTCAGAATAATATATAATTCTATATATTGTTCTATAATTGCCTGTAGTGTAGAATACTGTAGTCATATAACTTTCTGTTTGGTGGTGCACCTTTCTTCATTCTTGCCTATTTGTACTGCTCGCTCTATAGTGAACAACCTCTTTTGTTGGCCAACACCTCTCGCTACTCCCCCTCCCAAGTTCCTAAGCTACTCACTAACTTATGGAGGTTCCTAAGGCATAGCACTAGGTTTGACAGTCAACCCCCTGTCGCTGACTGAAGCCTCGTGCAACGTAACGTGCCTTGAAGGAAGGCGAAGAACCCGGCGGCCGCTTCACCCTGAAAATCCACATGCCATTGACTATGTTCGCCCGAGACGGGGGAACTGCGTCGACGTAGGTGCCTGTGGACTTCCAGGATGCCATCTCGGCATCCATGGCTGCCTGCCACTAAGAGGAGTAAGGACCCGTAATCGCCTCTGCGTAAGAGCGCGGGGTCGGGATGTCTGGTGCATCCGAGTCTCCTTCAGGGGCAAGCAGCATGGAAGCGAAACGAGGTACAGCAGCTGCAAGACACTCAAAGTCCTCCTGCCTGTCCTCAAGGACGTCCGTGCCAAGAGCACACTCACCCCCGACGGACGGAGGACTGGCGGACTCAGACTCAGCAACAAGTGCAGTGGCGTAGTCTAGACGACAGGCAGCAGCAAAGTCAAGCACCTCAGCAACGACGGCAGACGCAGCAGCTGACTCAAAAGAAGGGCCAGTAGCAAGGAGAGGAGAGACAGTAGGACTGGCAGCACACACAAGGTTAGACCCAGGGTCAGGGACAGCAGGAAGAGAGGACTCAGGAAGCGGCAAAGGAACACGCAGTCGAACAGAGGAAGGACAGAGTGCCATAGCGTGCGATCCAGGGACAGGAGGAGGACGCGAACGAGGAACGCGACGAGCAGTGCGAACAGGCGAGACTGGACGAGACGCAGGCTCACGACGCTCTGTAAGACCGCCAGACTGCTCAGTGTAAGGGGAAGGAGCAGGCAGTGGGGAGGCTGGCTGTAACAGTGGCTGTGACCGGTCAGGCGGTGGACACAGTAGGGGAGGAGTGAGGCTGGTAGAAGATGGGACACCAAGAACCTGCTGAAGCAAGGGAACGAAGAACGGTCGCGGCCGCACAGTGCCTCCAGCACCAGTACGGCCAGCACCCCCAGCACAAAGAAACAGCAAAAATAGAAACATGAACATAAACAAAAACATAAACATAAACAAAAACATAAACAAAGGCACAGAAACATAAACATAAACAAAAACAAAAACTCTACTAAGGAGACACGGGGCCAGAGGTTGAGCTGATGCGCAACGCACCTGACCGCAAACGGCCACAGAAATGGGGAGCAGCCGCATGGATCATGGAGGTACGAGCGACCTCCATGACTAAGCCAATGCGGCGCTCAGCAATCCCATTTTGCTGCGGAGAGGCCGGAAGCGTGAACGACTGGGTGATGCCCTTCCCACGACAAAAGTCCCACAAGAGGTCGGAGGAGAACTCACCACCTCTGTCAGAGTGCAGACGCAGGACAGGAAGATCCGCACGAAACTGCTCGTGGAGCTGGAGACGTACTGCACAGATCCAGGGGATCAAGATATCAACGACCTCACCCTTGCTGCGCAAGGGGACGA